GAAATACCCCAACCCAACAGTGTCCTTCCCTACTTCCTCCCTCATGCGCCCCCCACCCCCCAGTAACCTGCTGTAGCATACCCATCCCAGCCCGGCACAACCAGGCCCCAGCTCTGTGGGTAACGAGTACCAAAACTTTATTTCCATGATGGTGGATCATCCCTTCCTTCTTCCCCTCGACTGTTGATGGAGGCTCTAGGGACCAAGGGCAGGGACATACAATTCTAGGTATATAGGATGATGGGTGTCGGAGGCAACAAGGAAGAGGAAACATTAGAAGAACATTTTCTTAGCTGGCTTCTCTTTTCCAATTTTCTGACAATGGCTGGGAGTGTTTCCAAAAGATTTCTCATTCTTTGGAAATACACAGGTCAGATTCGGCAGGCAGGAACACTCACTATACAGGCCAAAGAACATCTGGGAAAGGCAAGACTTTGACCTTGACCTTGGGGGCTTCTCTCCCCTCAGCCCCATGGACAGTGCCTAGGCCTACACAAGTCCAGCTCCAAAGACCATCTGCTTTCCCACAGCCAGAAGCTTGGGGACAGGGACCCCTGCCCAGCTGCTCAGCATGGCTCCTCCCTTGCCTAGTCCAGGCTGACTCCTGGAGTTGCTCAGTGCTCGCCCTCCCAGCTCCACCCAGCCTCTCATTAACTCAGCTGCCTCTCCTAAATCTGGGAACACACTGTTGTAGGCCCCCATCTCTTCTCCTCAAATCCTCTCATAAGCAAATCAACTGCCTTCTCTGCACACCCAGCTCAAAGACTGCCTCTGCCCATCTCTGGCCAGGAATGCCCAGGGCCACAGCAGAACTACTGGGGCTGAGTGAAGTGGGGGTGTCCAGGGCAGAGGTAGCACCTAGCCATTCCCATTTTCTTTGCTACTTTCAGGGTTCTTACTCCCCTAGAGAGTAAGAGCCCACATTATAAAGTGAAGCATCCCTTCCCCTGCTTCCCATCTAGGATCCTAAGGCCCTGGTAGGCTCCCTTCTCAAGTCTGCCCACAGGCATCCCCAGGTGACTTGGAGGTGCAGCCCCAGCTCCAGGTCATTTCCTCCTGCCTACCCTTTCCCCTTTGCCAGAAATGTGGGCCTTCCCTGGCCCCCCTTCCCCCTGCTCCCCACCAGCTCTTCCCAGGTGTGGACACTCACCTGCACGTGACCCAAGCTACCCTCAGACCCCCTCTCGGCCCAGTGGTACTCAAAGCCCACAGCCTGGTGGCAGCACTGGCTCTCACACAACTTGATGCAAATCTCCCTGAGCTCCTGTGGGGAGACACCCACTGGCTGCACCTCTCGCCCTCCTGCCGGCTGGGCTTTCTCCCTACTCGCCACCCCACCGCCTCCCACTCCTGCCAGGCAGGGAGGGCTCTAGCTGGGAACGGGGGTACAGGGTGTGTGCAGACAGGGTGTGACCAGAGGGGAGCGAACAGTTTTCAAAGGTTTACTCTTAGGTCTCCCCCAGATAGGTCGCTTCTCACACACAAGGGTGGCTGGACTATCCTGTGGTTCTCACGCTTTGCCTTCTGCTCTGGCCTTTTCTTCTTCTGCAAACTCCTATTTACCCTTTCAGCCGAGTTTGACTGTCACCTACAGTCCCCCCCAACTCCCATCCCACACACATACACATTAATAACCCTTGATATTGGAACTTAGGATATTATCTATCACGGCCACCCATCAGCTTTCTGTCAAACAATTTCAATAGTCATTCAACAAGCAAACACTGAGCCCCTACTGTACACCAGGCACGGTAACAGGCGCTGGGGATACAGCTGGGAACAAAACAAACCCTGCTCTCTTGGCGCTGACATTCCAGAGCAGCACTGTCCAACAGAGCTTTTTACCATAATGAAAATGTGCTTTTCCTGCACTGTCCAGTACTGTCCAGTACAGTTCCTACTGATGCAGTAGCCACAGGTGGATAGAGAGCGCTTGAAATGTGGTTAGATTGACTGCAGCGCTGAATTTTGCTGAACTTTATTTGTTTATTTAGTTTTGAGACAGAGTGTCACTTTGTCACCCCCAGCACAACTGACATCATAGCTCACAGCAACTTCAAACTCTTGGGCTCAGGAGATTCTCTTACCTCAGCCTCCTGAGTAGCTGGGACTACAAGTACCCACCACAATGCCCAGTTTTTTTTTCGTTTGTTTGTTTTTTTGAGACAGAGCCTCTAGCTGTCACCCTGGGTAGAGTGCTGTGACATCACAGCTCACAGCAACCTCCAACTCCTGGTCTCAAGTGATTCTCCTGCCTCCACCTCCCAAGTAGCTGGGACTACAGGCTCTCACCACAATGCCTGGCTATTTTTTGGTTGCAGTCGTCATTGTTGTTTTTGGCGGGCCCAGGCTGGATTCGAACCTGCCAGCTCAGGTGTATGTGGCTGGCACCTTAGCAACTTGAGCCACAGGTGCCAAGCCATTCCGGCTATTTTTAGAGACAAGGTCTTGCTCTGACTCAGGCTGGTCTCAAAATCCTAAACTCAGGCAATCCACCCACCTTGGCTTCCCAGAGTGCTGGGATTATAGGCGTGAACCACCATGCCTGCCAAGATTAAACTTACTCTGAGAGGCCGAGGTGGGTGGATTGCCTGCACTCACAGGTTCAAGACCAGCCTGAGCAAGAGCAAGACCTCGTCTCTAAAAATAGCCAGGTGTTATGGCAGGTGCCTGTGGTTCCAGCTACTTGGGAGGCTGAGGCAAGAGAATCACATGAGCCTAAGAGTTTGAGGTTGCTGTCAGCTATGATGCTACAGCACTCTACCAAGGATGACAAAGTGACAAAAAAGTCGCAAAAAAACAAAAACATTAGGTGGCTCCTGTAGCTCAGTGGGTACAGTGCTGGCCACATACACTGAGGCTAGCGGGTTTGAACCTGGCCCAGGCCTGCTAAACAACAATGACAACTGCAAGAACAACAACAAAAAGTAGCTGGGCATTGTGGTGGGCGTCTGTAATCCCAGCTACTCGGGAGGCTGAAGCAAGAGAGTCGCTTAAACCCAAGAGTTGGAGGTTGCTGTGAGCTGTGATGCCATTGCACTCTACCCAGGGTGACAGCTTGAGACTCTGTCTCAAAAAAAAAAAAGAAAAGAAAAGAAAAGATTAAGGGAGGTCAGGGAAGTATTGCCTGTAGAGCTACTGATGGGGGGAGCACGAGCGAGGCTTCCCAGGTGCTGGAGATGCTCTGCATCTTGTTTTCACAGGCTGGTGAGGGTGGTTGCATAGGTTAAAATCCATTAATTTTCATGTAAAGTCAGGATTTGGACACCTTACTGTATGTAATTTTTGCTTAACATATATGGTATTATTAATTAATATTTATATTATATGTGTGTATCATATCTATTATATCTGATTAAGTGCTATAAAGAAAATATAGCAGGAAGGGAGGATTGGTTTGGCTATAACCTCTTCCTGCTCTCCCTGCTTTTCCACTCTAGCCTGTAACCCTCAAGCCACCCACTGCCCCCTTCTCACCACTTTCTCACCGCTCACCCACTCAGCCTTCTCCCACCCATTCTTCCCAGAACAGCTAGAGGAGCCATTTTAATAGGTAACACTTACAATGCCAGTCCCCAAATTCAAAGCTATCCCTGGGCCTTTGAATCCACTACTTTCCTGATCCCAGGGCATTGGCACTTGCTGGCCCTCTGCCCAGAACACCCTGCCCTGTGATCTCTCCTGGCTGCCTCCCTCTCTTGCCTCAGGGTGAAGCCTACCAGCTAGACCGGTCTGCATCACCTGGTTTTACCATATTCACAGCACTATGATTCTCTGGCATTATCTGCTTTTTCTTTTCTCTTTTTTTTTTTTCTTTGAGACAGAGTCTCAAGTCGTCCTGGGTAGAGTGATGTGGCATCATAGCTCACAGCAACCTCCAACTCTTGGGCTTAAGTGATCCTCTTGCCTCAGTTTTTCTTTCTTTCTTTTTTTTTTTTTAGTAGAGACGGGGTCTTGCTTTTTGCTCAGGCTGGTCTCAAACTGGTGAGCTCAAACTATCCACCAGCCTTGGCCTTCCAGAGTGCTAAGACTGTAGGCATGAGCCACCGCAACCAGCCTTGATTTTCCTTTTATTTAAATCATCCATCTCCAGGGCAGCGCCTGTGGCTCAGTGAGTAGGGCACCAGCCCCATAAACTGGGGGTGACGGGTTCAAAAGCAGCCCTGGCCGAACTGCAACAGTAAAAATAGCTGGGTGTGGTGGGGGGCGCCTGTAGTCCCAGCTACTCAGGCAGCTGAAGCAAGAGAACTGCTTGAGCCTAAGAGTTTGAGGTTGCTGTGAGCTATGATGCCTCAGCATTCTACTGAGGGTAACAAAGTGAGACTGTCTCAGGAAATAAAAAAATGGAGCCTTCTTTACTATATAACTCTTGCTCTTTTCTGCTTTGGCTCAGAAGTTACATATGTCACTCGTGGCCAGAAATACTCACAGTAGCCCAAGCTACCTGAAGAAAGGCAGCCAATGTTTCTGGTGCCAAGGAAGAAGAAAAACAATGGGACCTGGTGAAATCACAGCCCCTGACTTCGACTAGGGGCTGGGAAGAGGATGGCAAGGGTGAGCTCAAGAGGTGGAGACCTCACCCTAGAAATATGGCTTCTGAGGAAGGTGCCGAAATAAGCCTTATCAGAAGAGGAGGGAAACAGTTCAGTTAAGGTGGCCTGGAGCTTTTGCCTTTTCTTTTTTGTTTTATTGGTTACATAATAATTATACCTATTAAGCTTTTGCCTTTTCAACTTCAAGACTCTTCCACATCTCTAACAACACCTCAAGAAACATACAAGTATTGAATGTGCAGCTGCAGAAAAAGTTGCTGCTGACTCGGCACCTGTGGCTCAATCGGCTAAGGCGCCAGCCACGTACACCTGAGGTGGCAGGTTCGAATCCCCAGCCCGGGCCCGCCAAACAACAA